TTTTAATGCAGTATAATCTATAAAAATACAAAATCAGTTTTTAAAAAAAAGGAAAGAAAGAAAAAGAAAGTCCCTGTGATAAATCACCACCTGAAGTCTTACAGTGTATTCAGATAGGGGGAACTCAGTAGAGGATATTTGTGTTTTTAATCACCCCAACATACTTTCTTCCACTGAAAAACTTTGCCTTCTTCCTATGTTGTTCTGATGAAACTAGTCATTACAGGACACTGTCTGATCCCCAGCTTATCACATGAATATCCTCCTTTTCACCATGACTGGTCAAAGTTACATGAGCCAAGCAGGGCCAGAGTGGACCATGCAATTCTATGTAAGGATAATGGGAGAGGGAAAGTGTCTTCCTTTTGAGTCATGAACAATAAAATGAAAGATTGCAGCTGTCAGAAGTCACCTTTCCCATCACACAAAAGGGCCTGTTGGTAAGAAAGAAGAAAGGAAAGAGAAATCAAATGCTGTCATTTGGGCCCCTGTAGAGGGCTTCCCTGGTTGCTCAGTGGTAAAGAATCCGTCTGCCAATGCAGGAGACGTGGGTTCAATCCCTGGGTCAGGAAGGTCCCCTAGAGATGGAAAAGGCTACCCACTGCAGTGTTCTTGCCTAGGAACTCCCATGGATGAAGGATCCTGGTGAGTTATAGTCCGAGGAGTCACAAGAGTCAGACACAACTTAGCACCTAGACCACCACCACTGGACAGTCTTGGAGCACCCCTGCCAGCTCCACCCTGAAATTTCCAGTTACAAGAGCCAAAGAATCCCATTTGCTCAAGCTTTTTTGGGTTTCTAACATTTGCTTATAACCAAAGAGTCATTACAAATACAGTCTTGCGTCAAGCTAACTCTTCTTACTAATTAATACGTATACCCCAACTCTGTGTAGTTCTCAAACCAGGAAATAAAGCTATTTTATAAAATTTTTTTTAAATTCAGATTTCTAAGATCTAACCAAAAGCACTATTTCAGCATCTATAGGGGTGGAATCCTCACATTTGTATTTTTCTTAATTCCACAAATAATCATGAACCCTAACCAGTATGGATAGCCACTAATCTATTCTATTACAAAAAACAAACTCCAAATTCTAAATTGGCTGATCACATGAGCTATTTTAATTGCAGTCTAGAATCCTACAAAGGAAACAGGTAGGTTTCCCTACACCACCCACAAATAAACTCTGTTTCTCTAATAGAAAAAATCAATAAAATATATTTTAAAGTTTTATAGCATTTAGTGACTTTTCTTAAGTCTAGTGATAGAAATTTTACTGATAGATAGAAAGTTTACTGATAGAAATTTTACAGTACTATAATCACAAATACATGTTTAATGCTCCCCCAGTTATTTATTATGAAACTAGCATAAGAACAAGAGTGTGTAGTAATGGACATCTAAGGCAAATTTCTGTGTTAAATGGCACACAAAACCAAGTCATGTTTCTGCATCTCCTTACATCTCTATCCTTTCACATGTGTACTTGTACAAATTGATAAACCAATCTATTTTAGCAAGTACAAAGTAAAAGTATCTTTTTTATAAGATTTTTTATGTGGATAATTTTTAAAGTCTTTATTGAATTTGATCCAATACTGTTTGTTTTATTTTTGGCATTTTGGCCTCAAGGCATGTGGGATCTTAGCTCCCTCACCAGGGACCAAACCCACAACCTGTACATTGGCAGGCCAAGTCTTAACCACTGGACTACCAGGGAAGTCCCAACTCTTTTTAAAATCCTGACATCAAAGCCTCAGTTGAAAGTTGGTGATATAGGAAACCTCTAGTCAGAAGACCTTGGACAATCCTCCGAGGCAATGTGGTGGGACAGTCAAGGCACTTTTCAACCATTTGCAATGTCGTAATGATTCTTTGAGGACTTGGTGCAGTGGTAAAGAATTCGCCTGCCAAGCAGGAAGTGTGGGCTTGATCCCTGGATCAGGAAGATCCCTTGGAGAAGGCAATGGGAACTCATACCAGTATTCTTGCCCGTAAAATCCCATGGACAGAGAAGCCTGGCAGGCTACAGTCCATAGGGTTACAAAAGAGTCAGACATGACTGAGCAACTAAACACACACACACACACAATGATTCTTTTACATCTGAATATACTCATTTGAACCATGACAGCATGGTACAACAAAGTTTAGGCCAGTCATTTCCACAGGATAATTTATATGTCATGTCAAGGGAGAGTTGTTATACAGTCTTTATATCCTGAACAGTTGTGGGAATTTTTGCTGTTTCATATTATCATCTCCTAAAAGAAGACCCCTCTAAGGATTTCAAATTAAAAAAAAAAAAAAAAAACTAGTGATCATATATCATCACTGGATCACCTTGGATATAAAATCAGGAAACAGATCACCACAGAGGCACCAAGCAGTAATCAGGTAATTTCTAGAGCTTGACTATAATCATACTCTCAGGCCACATCTTCTAGGATTGAAGACTGATGAGGAAGTATTTTCAGTTCTGCTTCCACTCTTGAAATATTAAGGAAAGGGGAATAAAATTTGTAACTATATATAGTGATGGATGTTAACTATTGTGGTGATCATTTTGCAATATATATAAATACCAAATCATTATGTTGTATGTGTGTGTGTGCATGCTAAATTGCTTCAGTCATGTCCAACTCTTTGCACATCTATGGACTGTAGCCTGCCAGATTCCTCTGTCCATGGGGATTCTCCAGGCAAGAATACTGGAGTGGGTCGCCCTGCCCTCCTACAGGGGATCTTCCCAACCCAGGGATCAAATCCAGGTCTCTTTCATTGCAGGCAGATTCTTTACCATTGAGCCACTAGGGAAAGCCCATTATGTTATATATTTAAAAATATATAACATTTTATGTCAATTGTGTGTATGTGTGTATGCTTAGTCGCTAAGTCGTATCTGACTCTTTTTGACACCATGGACTATAGTCCTCCAGGTTCCTCTGTCCATGGGATTTCCCAGGCAAGAATACAGGAGTGGGTTGCCATTTCCTTCTCCAGGGGATCTTCCTGGCCCAAGGATTTGAACCCACGCCTCCTGCATTGGCAGGTGGATTCTTTACCACTAAGCCACCTAGGAAGCCCTTTATGTCAATTATATGTCGATAAAAAAAAAAATTAAGTAGAGGGATCTCATCAGCAGAGTAAGGAGGAAGGTATAAGAAATCAATGGATATAATATCTGACTATTAATGCTATCTTTTTTCCAGCTTTACTAGGTATAATCGACAAAGTTGCTAGAAGTTGTGAGACAAAATACCAGAAAGAGAAGAGGGCTGCCCAGAGAGAAAGATCTAGACATCTGCCTGTTATGCCCGCTGTCCGAATCCCCCAGCAGGAAAAGAGAAGACCTCCATGACAACGCAACATGCAAAGGAAGGGAAATTTATTGCTGACTCGAGCCAGGGCCCCTGCTGCAACCAACGCAGTGGTGCAAAGTCAGAGAGCCCCGAGCCCCAGTTTCCACGCACATTTATAGGATGCTCGATTTCAAACATAAGCAGTGGGTAGTGGGCGCAAGCGGATTGGTTACATGTTTGCAAAGCAATTTTATTGGTACAAACTTTCACACGCACGGGACTTTCCAGGGGACCTTCTCGGAGGTTTACTGGGCGCGTACTGATTAGCTGGTCTCTGGTGGCCTGTTGAGGGCAGATAATTACCCTACCCTCGGGAGAAACTGAAACTTAGGCCTACTCTTAGTTCAGGGCGCCTGTCATGGTGCTAGTCTTGACAGTCTCACATTTCCCCCTGTCTTGTTGTTCCTGTAGAAGAATCTTTCTCTTCACCATCTTGGGCCACTGGCTGATATTGCTGTCTCAACACCATAATCTGAATGGTGTTTATACGTTCTTTAGTAAATGACACTAGCCGGTTTAAGATACAAGGGCCAAATGTCAGCATCAATATCAACACTATGAGTGGGCCCAGGAGGGCGGAGACCAAGGTGGTCAGCCAGGGGGAGTGTTGAAACCAAGATTCAAACCAGCCCTGTCGGGCCTCTCGTTCCCTCTTTCGCTGTGCAAGTCCCTCTCTTACTTTTGCCATAGATTCTCTCACCACTCCTGTGTGGTCCACATAGAAACAACATTCTTCTCCCAGAGCCATGCAGACCCCACCCTGTTGGAGAAAGATTAAGTCTAACCCTCTCCTATTTTGCAAATCCACTTCAGATAAGGATGTCAAAGACTTTTCTAAGTGACTAATTTATTCTTCTATGCAGACTATGTCTTCATCTATAGTGGCCCGCAGGGAGGAGAGCCCTTGGCCCTGCAAAGATAATGAAGCTATTCCTGTCCCTGCTCCTGCCAGTCCGAGGCTGAACAGGGCTGCCACAGTGATTGCACTAATGGGCTCTCGTTTCTGTCTTAGTACTTCCTGGTCCCAATGTGAGTACATTACCTCCTCAGAATGGTATAGGATCTTTGGCATCACAGTGACGAGAACACAGAATTCTTGGCTCGGGTTAAAAACCTTCATATTTAAACATGGTGTTAGCCCCGTGTGTGAACAAACCCACCATCCCCCGACTTCCGGCACTAGCCAATTTGCCAGGTAAGCTGATATCACCAATAGTCTGAGCACAAAGAGAGGTCTTATCCCTTGGTACTGTGCCCAAACAGACCCCCTGTCCCCATACCTCTTCCATCGTGAGGCCTATCTCACGCTCTTCCCACCAGCATTGAGGGGGATTGGGGTCTGAAGACAAGTTGTAGGAGACGTTGAGGCCTACGGCCTCATAGAAGGGGGGCGGAGGTTATAACAGAGCCAGCAGGATTGGGTCGCATTTGGGTCAGTATGGTTTAGGGCCATAAAAGGGCATTTACTATGGCCCATAGGGGGTCTTGAGTCACTGAGCTGGCAGTTACAGTTAGATGGCCCGGGGTGTTTGTCAGATTACCTCTGGTGCCTGGGGTAGAGCAGCTGCTCTTTGACCTCGGCGAATCTGGCCCGGAGGTGGTCGTCTTAGGGGTCGTCTTGTGCCCTGGTGCCGTTTAGACCAGGTTGGGACCCAGACTATGTACCTGTACCGGCTCAATCACCTGTTTAATGGTCAAGAGCTCTCCTGGGTAAGAAGCCACATGAAGCTGTAAGCCCCAAGGTAGCCCTGCGGTCCAGCGGCTTTCCTTTTTCGCTCGGTCCTGGTTGAACTGTACCCGTACAAAAGGCCCTTGGTGCTTGGAATCACTAAAGGTGAATCTAACTAAGTCTCTGTTCCCGACATCCCACCTCCGGGGCCCATCACACGAGGTTACACAGCTCCAGCTTGCACAGTAATAGCTTTCCATACCCCCACAAGTTTTCCAATTACCTCTCATGTTGCCTGGGCAAGCGAAAAACCCAGGGAGGTCCCCCACTCCATAAGTGTGGGCGTATGCGTCCCCCATATGTCCACCCAGGCTTCCATATAGTGGAGTGTGTAGCCCGACCTGGTGTACAAAGAGTCTCCTGAGGTTTAAGTACAGGTCTGGCCACCAGGTGTTGAGAGGGTGGATTCCTGAGGTTTCGTTGATCACCTCGTGGGTCTGTCTGTCGCTGAGCTTCCAGGTGATCTTGAATGGTTGATGTGGATTGGATATTCCCGGGTTGATGAGAATTGCCACCAGTAGGAGACTCAGGAGGCCTCTCGTCGGACGAGTTTCAGTTTCAAAGGATTCGACGGGAGAGGACTTGCCTTCCATTCTGCTCGCGCTCTTTCCTGCTCCTCCGGAGTAGCTTGCCGCACGTGATTGCAGTGAACCCAGGGTCCGATCCCGTCAGCCTTAAGGGCGGTAGGGGTGGTAAGGAGAACAACACAAGGGCCTTTCCACCTGGGTTCTAATACTTTAGATCGGTGCCGTTTTACCCAAACCCGGTCACCTGGGCCAATGTTATCTGCGGGGAGGGCCCCCCTTGCTGTGACCCTCGTGTATCTCTCAAGTCAGTTTCCAAGCATGGTTATGCACCTTACTTAATGCCATCAGAGTTTGCTGGAATTGTCCCAAAGTAGGGGTGGCAGGCACTTTCCTTCGAAAATAGGACACACAGGAGGGGGACTTCCATACAGAATTTCAAAAGGGGTAAGATTCAGCTTATAAGGGGTGTTACGCGCCCGAAAGAGTACGAAGGGAAGGAGGGTCACCCAGTACCCGCCAGTCTCTATTGCCAACTTTGTCAACTTTTCTTTTAGGGTCCGATTCATTCTCTCAACCTGTCCTGAGCTCTGGGGATTATATTCACAATGTAACTTCCATTTTGTCCCCAGAGCTTAGGCCAGCCCTTGTACAATCTGGCTCACAAAGGCAGGTCTGTTATCAGAGCCCATAGTCACTGGCAGCCCATACCTAGGCACTATCTCTTCTAAGATCTTTTTAGCAACCACTATTGCTGTCTCTCCCTTAGTGGGGAAAGCATCTACCCACCCAGAGAAGGTATCTACCAGAACCAACATATAGCGATACCCGTACTTGCCTGGCCTTACCTCAGTGAAATCTATCTCCCAGTGTTGCCCTGGCTTTTCCCCCTCGGTACCTCATTCCCGTGTGCTGCTTTTTTCCTGTCATCAGCTGGCACGCTTTGCAAGCCTGGATTATCTCTCGCACAGTTGCATTTTGTCGAGGGAACCTCAGGCAGGCTGTCTGGGGAAGTGTTAAGGTCTTTTTCTCTCCCAGGTGTGTAGTTGTGTGCAGGTGTTCACACAGGTGACGACCCAGGGTGGCAGGCAATATCAGGTTGTTGTTTTGGTCTTGGTACCATCCATCTTTGTCATCCTTCTGGAAGGTGGTATCCTCGTTGATCCAGGTGAGATCAGGTAGGGAATATTCGGGAACTGGTGGCAAGGCCCCCATACCAGGAGGTGGAAGTCCCACGGCTAATATGGGGGCGGCGTAGTCCCGGCTAGCTGCTTCTCGAGCGGCCGCATCAGTGGCACGATTTCCTCGTGCCTTAGGGTCTTCTCCTTTCTGGTGACCGGGGACATGTACTATTGCCACTGCCCGGGGCAGTTGGACAGCTTCCAGGAGCCTGCGAATCTCAGGCAGATTTTTTACTTCCTTTCCCTCAGCTGTCCGAAATCCCCTTTCTTGGTATATTGGACCTTGAATATGGGCAGTGCTGAAAGCATATCGGCTGTCAGTAAAAATGGTGACTCTCTTCCCTTTGACTTGCTCCAGAGCCTGTATTAGGGCAATCAATTCTGCTTTTTGCGCAGAAGTGTTTGGGGGAAGTGTCTCAGCCCATATCGTCTGTCCTGAATCATCAACTATGGCGGCTCCCGCCTTCCTTTGCCCATCTTTTACATAACTGCTCCCATCGGTGAACCATACTAGTTCACTGTTGTTTAGGGGTACATCAGTTAAGTCTTTTCGTGCCGCCAGGGCCTCAGCCAGTATCTCACTGCAATCATGGAGAGGGCGGTCTTTCTCTGGATTAGGTACGAGCGTGGCTGGATTCAGGAAGCAAGGGGTTTGAAAACGCACCCGTGGGGCATCAAGCAGCAAGGCCTGGTAATGTGTCAAGCGGGCACTGGAGAGCCACTTACCCGGCGGCTGCTTTAGAACCCCTTCAATGGCGTGGGGGGTGTAAACCAACCATATGTCAACTTGTCAGCGTCGCAGACGAGGAGGGCAGTGGCTGCAATGATGCGAAGGCAAGGGGGCCACCCAGCGGCCACCGGGTCTAATCGCTTCGAAAGGTATGCCACCGGCTGCTTCCATGGTCCCCATTGTTGCGTCAAGACCCCCTTTCCTATTCCTTGCTTTTCATCTACAAACAGCTGGAATGGTTTATTTGGCTTAGGCAGGGCAAGGGCTGGGGCTTCTAGTAGGGCCCGTCTGAGTGTCTGGAAAGCCTGTTTCATTGGCTCAGTCCAAGTGCAGTTTGGGGTCTCTTTACTTCCCTCATACAAGGGCCGGGCCTTCTCAGCAAACCCCATGATCCACAGTCTGCAATATCCAATAGTCCCCAGAAACTCTCTCACCTGGCGGGGGGTCTTGGGCTCTGGTATCTGCAATATCGTTTCCTTCATGGCCTGAGTTAGCCACCTTTTCCCCTGCCTGATCTTATACCCCAAATAGGTGACCTCTTGCCGGGCTATTTGTGCCTTCTTTGCGCTAACGCGATACCCCAAGGTGCCTAGAGTCTGTAAGAGGTCACCGGTGGCACGGCTGCATGCCTCCTCTGTAGTTCCAGCCAACATAAGGTCATCTACATATTGCAGCAGGATGACCTCTGGGTGGCGAGTCCGATATTCATAGAGGTCCTCACTCAAAGCCTCATTAAACAAGGTAGGGGAGTTCTTGAACCCCTGTGGGAGGCGGGTCCAAGTTAATTGTACTACCGGTTGGCCTTCCCCCTCAGTCCTCTCAAAGGCAAATATCTCCTGGCTCTGGGCCGCCAGGGGTAGGCTGAAAAAGGCATCCTTCAAGTCTAACACAGTGTACCAAGTGTACTCAGGCAGCAGACTTCTCAGGAGGGTATATGGGTTAGGGAGAGTGGGGTGTATGTCACTCACCCGCTTGTTGACTTCTCGCAGGTCTTGGACAGGTCTATAATCTGTCCCCCCTGGCTTCTTCACCGGCAGTCAGGGGGTGTTTCAAGGGGATTGGCACCGCTTGAGAATTCCGGCATCCATGAGCTGTCGAATGTGGGGAGTGATCCCCCGCCGAGCTTCCTGGCTCATAGGGTACTCTCTCACCCTCATAGGAATTGCCTCGGCCTTTAGCTCTCTGACGACCGGATGTCTCTGTTTGGCCAGTCCCATTCCTGCCGTTTCTGCCCAGGCCAATGGGTATTTGTGGACCCACGGTTGTACATCTGGTGCTATGACCTCTGAGGGCTTAGGCGCAAAAAGTCTGTATTCATCTCTTAAGGCTAGGGATAAGACATGTATCGGCTGTCCAAGTCCATCCGTGACTGACATTCCCCCAGGGTCAGAATGGATCTGAGCATTAACTTTAGTCAACAAGTCTCTTCCAAGTAGAGGGGCTGGGCATTCTGGTATCACCAAAAACGAATGGGACACCTGGTGGGTCCCCAGATTTACTTTCCGTTCTGTGGTCCAACAATATCTTTTTGTCCCCGTGGCTCCTTGCACTAAGCTGGTTTTCTTAGACATTGGTCCCAGTTTTTGATTTAAAACAGAGTGTTGGGCGCCAGTATCTACCATGAAGTCAACGGGTTTCCCCTCCACATGTACGGTTACTCAGGACTCGGGGAGGGGTGCCGAGTCTTGACTCCCCTAGTCACTGTCTTCCCCCACATATAGAACTCGAGTTCCAGGGGAGATTCCCTCTCTCTGGGTTGTTCCTCTCTTTGGGTCCCTCTTAGGGCACTCGTTTTTCCAGTGACCCCGTTCTTTGCAGTAAGCGCACTGATCTTTCTTTAGGGCCTGCCTTTTTGGTTTTTCTTTTTCTCCCGTCCGGGGGTCTTGAGGCTCCCTCATTTCTGTTCCGGCCTTCAACCCCGCAAAAAGAATCTGGGCTAGCTCCCTCTGGTTCTTCCGGTTTTCCTTCGCCCTATGTTCCCTATCTTCCTTCCTGATCTTCTCAGCTAATTCCCTTTCCTCCTGTCGAATTTGCTCTTCCCTTTCTTCTGGGGTCTCTCTATTATTAAATACCTTTTCAGCTGCTTTCAGCAAGTCTTGTATTGTCTGTTCTCCTAACCCGTCTATCTTTTGTAATTTCCTCCTAATATCTAGGGCTGCCTGATTCACAAACGCTAACAGAACTGCAGCGCGTGACTCCTCAGCCTGGGGGTCCATAGGTGTATATTGCCTAAAGGCTTCCATCAACCTCTCTAGGAGGCTGCCGGGCTCTCAGTGGGCTCTTGCCTTACTAGATTTACCTTCGCCAAATTTGTCAGCTTTCTAGCTGCGACCCGCAGGCCTGCCATCAGAGTCTGGTGGTACACTCGGAGACGCTCCCTACCTTCCGTTTGCTCAAAATCCCAGTTAGGCCGCAACAGAGGAAACCCCTCTTCCACGAGATGAGGCTGGGCAGTTGGTCTCCCGTCGGCCCCCGGGACCCGTTTCCGTGCCTCTGCCAGAATTTGCTCCCGTTCTTCTGTGGTGAAGAGCACCTGCAACAGCTGTTGACAATCATCCCAGGTGGGGTTGTGAGTGAACAAAATGGAATCTAAGAGGTCAATGAGGCCTTGGGGCTTCTCTGAGAAAGGAGGGTTCTGGGTTTTCCAATTGTACAGGTCACTCGTGGAAAAGGGCCAGTACTGATATGTTCACTCTCCGCCCGGGTTAGCTGGTCCCACTCGGACAGGGAGCGCCTGAACAGTGGATGAAGGTAACTCTGGGTCCCCAGGGCCTTGTCCACCCCTATCACCCCATCACCCCTAATTCTCCTCCGGGTCCCCAATGCGGGTCCCCCCTCATGGTCAATTCCCGCGGGCCCTCCCAACCCTCTTGATTCACCTGGGGGAGTTCCTCTCCTCGGAGGGAATTGCAATGGGGGGGGGGGGGGCACACAGCGGAGGCCTTACCTCTGTTTCTAAATCTATCAGGTTCGGATAAGATGATTCCTGAAGGACTGGTTTTGGGTCCTCTTTCTTTTTAGTTTCTTCCGGGGGGGTCTCCATCACCAGGACCTGTGAATTAGAAGAACTAGGAAGTTTGTGAACGAAAGGTTTTAACCATTTGGGCGGATTTTCCAAAAGATCCTGCCAGACCATGACATAAGGAACCTGATCCGGATGGCCCCAGGGATCAGGAGCCATAATCCTTTTTTTTACAGCCTGTATGATGGACGGTTGAAAGGTCCCTTCCGGAGGCCATCCAACTTGGAAGGCAGGCCACTCTGCAGAGCAAAAGGTTATTAATTTCCTTTTCTTGACTAGCAAAGACAAGTTATGTGCCCTGGCCCTGACATCTGAGAAATGGTCAGTCATGAGAGAGAGTGGGGTAGATTCCCCCTGACCCATGGCTAGAGTGTAAATGGTAGGGAAGAGAGAGAGAAGTCACTGAGAACAGCCACCAAAAATCCTACCGGGAATGGTGACGGCCAAGAGGTTGGGCTTATGGTATGCTTTTGGTACTGTTTATGTGCCTGCGTCGTTGCACGGAAGTTTTCTTGCTGGGGGCGGGCACCCTAGAGGTTTCTAGCCCGTTCCATGACCCCCTTATCCTCTCACGGGAGTCTTCAAGTGGCAGGCGCCCTAATGGCCTTTAAGTGCCTGTCCCGTGCCCACACAAGGAATTTTAGGCCATGTCCTCAGTTAGGGATGTTAAGTTTCACCCGATCGGGCTCCCGTTACTGAGGCTCACTTATTGTAAGGCCTTCAGAGTCCACCAGAGTGTAGCCCTGGCCAGGACTCATCAGTTGCCCCCACAACTGTTCGCCTGTTCACTGAAACTCTTGAAGAGAGTAGGAGTCGAAGGCAGATCAGAGAAGAAGGGGAGAAGGAGAATAAGTCAGAAGAGAGAGTAGAGAACGATACACCAGAAGAAAACGAGACCAGAGACAATGGGGGCACACACACAAACATGGAGGGGCATAGACAAACACACAGATAGACAAATGTCAGCCGACAACACAGCACTGGGTTTTTTTGGGCCCCCTGAGTCCTCTTGCCTCCCGGTACAATGTTCACCTTACCGAATGGCGTCCACTGCTCACCAGACTCGGGATCAGGAGAGGAACTCTCCTTCCCGCAGAGCCGGCTGCCTTCCAGCGCGCTCGCTGGCCTCAGTCCTGCACCGGCTGGAATGTCCAATCTGTTCCCCCTTTATAGAAAGCTTTCTCCTGTGCCAGATACCTTCCTGCTTCTCAGCAGGGCCTCGGATTTACACTGGACTTTCCTGTCCTGCCTGAGTACCGGTGCTATATCTATCCTTCCCCTCTGTCCTGGAAGTGTTATCTTTCCCCGGTCAAGGGATCCCGGATGAGCCCCCAAATGTTAAGCCCGCTGTCCAAATCCCCCAGCAGGAAAAGAGAAGACCTCCATGACAATGCAACATGCAAAGGAAGGGAAATTTATTGCTGACTCGAGCCAGGGCCCCTGCTGCAACCAACGCAGTGGTGCAAAGTCAGAGAGCCCCGAGCCCCAGTTTCCACGCACATTTATAGGGTGCTCGATTTCAAACATAAACAGTGGGCAGTGGGCACAAGCGGATTGGTTACATGTTTGCAAAGCAATTTTATTGGTACAAACTTTCACACGCACGGGACTTTCCAGGGGACCTTCTCGGAGGTTTACTGGGCGCGTACTGATTAGCTGGTCTCTGGTGGCCTGTTGAGGGCAGATAATTACCCTACCCTCGGGAGAAACTGAAACTTAGGCCTACTCTTAGTTCAGGGCGCCTGTCATGGTGCTAGTCTTGACAGTCTCACACTGCCAAGTATTAATATTAAGGTGTATGCATGCGCACACACACACAGAATCTACGAAGCTTCACAAAGAACTACTATCAGAAAAAGGAAAACAACTAGGCTGCTGAACTAAACTACTACTAGTATTCACCCAAGTCTGTTTGAATTCTGATCTCCAGAGTGGAGAGACCTTACTAGAAATCCTGAAGCGTTCAGTAGAGACCTCATAAAAATACTGGAGTAGGGCTGTATTAGGAGTAGGGCTAATCTTTTCCTAAAAGATAATCTTATACCACCTTGAAAATACTTTTTAAAAATATAAAAATAATTTAAAAACAAGCTTCATACTAACCATAAACATGTAGAAACTGAAATTTTAATTATTACCATTTACAATTGCTTCAAAGGAAACCAGTTACTTCAGTATAAATATAACAAAATGTGTATGAATCAGTATCTTGAAAATTACAAAATGCTGATAAAAGAAGTTAAAGAAGATCTAAATAAATAGGAGCCATACTATGTTCATGGACTGTAAGATTAAATGTATTAAAGATGTCAATTCTTTACAAATTGATCAATATATTTAATTAAATTTCTATCAAAATGCATTTAGTTTTTTAGTAGACACAGACAAGCATATTCTAAAATTTGTGCAGAAAGGCACAGGACCTAAAATAGCCTTAAAAAATTTTTTTGGAAAAGAATAAAGTGGGAGGAAGCAGTCTATCCGGTGTTAAAGCTTACTGTGTTGAGTCCACAAGATCACCTCCAGGTTCAATGATTTGCCAGGAGGACTCACAGGATTCAGCATAATCATACCAATGGTAATGACTTCTTATAACATAAAGATATTAAGCAAAATGAGCAAAGGAAAATGATGTATGGAGCAAAATTTGGAGGAAATCAGAACAAGTTTCCAAGAGACCTCCCCCATTAGAGTCAAAGGACTTGCTTAATTTTTCTGGTAACAAGTTATGGTAACACGTGTGAAATGTTATCTACCAAAGAATCTCACTAGAGACTCAGTGCCAAAGGTTTTTATTGGGAACTAGTCACATAGCACACTCTGCCTAGCACAATCCAAAATTCCAGATTCCCAGAAGGAAAGCAAGTGTTCAGCATTAACCATCATTATTTACACAGTTTAGGCACAGTGAGCCACTCTTATCAGTTAGGGTAGTCCTTATCAGTTAGGGAAGACCTCCTGAAATCTTAATTTCCAGATGCTAGCCAAAGGCCAACCTGGATAGCAGATCTTTCTAAGGACAGCAGTGATAGGTAAGGAGCAAGAATTTTAGCAAATTAGATAGAATCTACATTGTCTTTTATGACCTAGACCCAGAATTCACAAAGCATTAATTCTGCCCTATCCTATCGGTTGAAGCAATCACAAGCTCATGCATTTTAATGAGAAAGAACATAGACCTCTAGATGGGAGGAATGCCAAAGAATTTGTGGAAACAATTTTAAATTGCCACTGTCTACTCTTTGGCCAAAAAGTATTTATATTCTTCCCATCTGAAATATGTATTCACCTCTTCAAGATTCTCCAAAAGCCTCACCCCTATGGCAACAAGCTAGGTTCCAAGTCTAGGCTCTGATCCCTAATCAACTCCAAGCATGGATCAGGCTCCATGCTGTTTCCTGTGCTCAGATCTTGATCTGAAAACCTGAAAATAAAGAGACAAGGTATCTGCCCTACACATATCCAAAATACAGTGGTGGGGATAGCACCAAAATCACAACTAGCTGTTGAACAACCCTCAAACAGGAGGATGCTGGAACCTACCATCAAAACATAACTCCATGTCCAAAGACAAAGAAGCCAAAGCAAGACTACAGTGGGCAATCACACATTGGAGGGGCACAATCATGATGAAATC